ATTCTTTCATACTGATGACACCTAGGTGGACTGAATTGGTCCTTCTTGGTTAATGGAGCTTGACGATTCGAAGCAGTTCAGAAACCACATCAAAAAGATCGATATACTGGAAATGTTAGGCATACCTGATGTCTCCTGAAATTCGGTATCGTCACTCGCCACTGTCTTGTTCACTCGAAATTCTTTTTGCGGCTGCCCCCTTTTCGCTGTCTCTTGATGTGTTCCAGCTCCTTACCGGCTTACCAGCACAGAAGTTCGCTCTTCAAAATCCTGCGATGCTGCTGGAAAGTACGAGTAGTCCACCATATCGCCTGTTATTGTGCGAGTACCAAAAGTATCCTGTCCGGCTCAACGCACACCTGTGGTTTGCATGTGACGCTCAACTAGTTTCCACGTGGGAAGTCGGTGTACCCGTGTTTCGGAGTCCGCTAAGCCCAAAAGTGGCGACTGGGCATCTTAGCCGACAGATGCAGTGGGCGCCACATCCGGTCATGAGGTGATGCGATGCTCCTGATACTTCTTATATGGTACTCATAACCTTTCTCCGTCCCATAAGCACCAGCACACGCAACATCAACACTTCTTGGCTAGTAGGCCTATCAAATCTCAATTATCATTTTTTTTTCAACTTGGGTTTCCTAACTAGGGAAGGTCGTCAGGTCGAAGTGGCCATTTGTGATGAGATGTAGATCACTAGACGTGGTTTTGGACGCTGATCTTGAATCTGCCTTCAAAATTTGCAAAGCGATTCTCTGAACGGAGTTATGGAGCCGCGTTTACCACGCAACAGGTCATCACTACTACTTCAGTTCTCACCTGAGCTTGTCTGAAGAAAAGTTTGCCTCCATTTATTACTGCGCTTGGACTCCTTGTAGACTACAGTGCACTACAGTGCTTCTACAAGGAGTCCAAGCGCAGTAATAAATGGAGGCAAACTTTTCTTCAGACAAGCTCAGGTGAGAACTGAAGTAGTAGTGACGGCAAAATCACTTTTTGCCACGTTTGCGCAACAAGCAAAAAAGTTAAGCTCAGCAGGGATCCGATCCCATGACCTGTTGCGTGGTAAACGC